AATAACATCATCCCCTTGGTAGCATTGGCATCATGTTGTCTCTGCCTGACCATATTCTATGCCAATTTAAGTACTTGTACCTGTGTACCTGTAGCATATAAACAACTATACAGCCATGTGCTACTAGGATAATAAACATCAGAGTGAATTGTTTGGCAAACATATTTGTTGATAATGGAATAAAGATCAAAAAAGGACTCATATATATATATATATATATATATATATATATATATATATATATGTTGTTTTCTAATTGGATGTGACATTTGACTGATGGATTTTTTATATGCATGTATATTATTTAACATGTTGAGTGTACTACACAAGGGTAAGTTGCCAATATACAAGTGTATTCAGAATAGTTGTCTTAATTTAATAAAAATTTCCATTTTGTTTCTCTTTGTAAATCATAGTTACTGATGACAGGTCATTACTTAAAAATTTCACTTGCATGTGAAATTTTGATTTATTTTCATTGCCCCCTCATAAAAAAATAAATAAAACATATGATGTGGTATTGTGTCACATATATGATTGACATACCTGACTTATGCAGTGCCCACTCAGTAAAATCGGGGCACAAACCTTCTTGTTGAGTAAATTGACTTTCATACTATAAGACTGGTGATTTTTTTGTGGGCATCTAAAGAAGACTGATGATATAACAATTGGGGAGGGCTGTGAACTTTTTAAATGAATGTGTTCTTTGACCCTCAATTAAGGATTTCATAATTTTTGCGATTAACTTGTATTTTGTATCTTTTAAAGATTTTGACACATGTTTCTTTTTTTTCTTCTTGTATAGGCTTTTGTTCCAGATTCAGAAGTGTTCTGTAATGTATGCAGGGTTGTTTTAAATGGGGGTATATTATATGAAAAAGTTACTTCAGCCTTTATAATTGGATCCATGACTGTTACATTTTTATAGCAATACAAACACATAACATCATCCAGTGCAACCATTGAAATGATAGTCATGTGATGTAACATTTCTGTGATGTATTGAATAAAAAACATATGCATAAATAGTCAAGTGATTTTAACATTTTGTGCTCATGATGAAATTGAGTGATTTCAACCCTTTTTTCTTTAAATTTTGTTGTGACATGAATACTTGTTTGAGATTATTCAGATAAGTACTAGTTAATTAATGTCTTTCTTGTCTTGCTTGTAAACTATGAAAGACAGGACATATTACATTTAAACTAATTTAGGCTATTCACACAACACACAATGATTGTGGTGGTGTGGGACATATATGTGTCTTTTTTTACCAGTACAATCAAGTTTATATTTGGGGCAGTTCACAGGTGGTCATTCATTTGTATTCATATATGGAGTCATTCCAAGCTAATTCTCTATTTTTAGTAATTGAGGCAATATTCTTTACATGATGATAAAAACTTTGCTAAAACCTGAAGAGGATAAATCCACAATATACTACAAACCCACACAAATGCTCATAATTCTAAAAGCAATCAGTACTTGGACATGAACTTAATGCATCTTTCAACAACTTCTCTTTACGTCCCAGGAAACCATATCTCTTATCAGCTCACCTATACGAAGATGAGGAGAATATATTGTACTGTTCCTTGTATCTGCTCAAATAAATGCACAGGCACAAACACACACACACACATACATATACATATATACATATACATATATGTGTATATATATATATATATATATATATATATATATATATATATATATATATATATACAACCATATATATATACCCTCACTGAATTTCAGCCATTCTTTTATCTAGATATGCCTGGATTTAGGGTTTTGGAAGGGGGCTGAGGCAAGCAGCTTTTTATGTGCATGCACATTAGTTGTCCACTATTTGTGAAGTTTTGGATATGACTTGGGGGTTATTTCACACCCTGTGTGTATTTCGTGTGTATACTGTATATACCCTGTGTGTGCCCTGTGTGTAAACTGTTGTATCCTGATTCACAAAACATGTTGACTGTATGCATCTTGATAAGCAGACATGCATATCTTAGCACTTTGCCCTTTCAACATAAAAAATTCAGTGTTACCCATTATTGCACATTTGATGGCTAAGGTTAAGTATTTTTGTGTTGAACATGAGATCACTGTGGTTTTTGATCTTTCATGTAATATTGTTATGTCTAGATTCATAAAACTTGGTGACAGGATGCATCTTGACAAAGGCAGCACCAATTTTAGAGGTAGGTCACTGTGACCCACATTTCGCATAACTTTTTACGGTAATTTTTTTTTGAATTACAATAACATTAGACGATTGTATCTGTCATTATACTGCAGCCATACCAAATAAGTCAGTTTGACCACATTTTACATTTTACTGGCTTTTAAGTTCTTTCATTTACCATGTACTATTCTGTCTAGACTCATACTTTGTGAAGGGGTGTATCTTGATGAGCATTACTCCATCATTAAAGTACTAGGTCATTATGGCCCATATTTTATGCTTTACAACCTTGGCTCATTTTTGTGATTACATGTACATTTCATAAGTTCTGTTGCATGCTCATCATAACCTATATTCCATATTTTACTAGCTTTGGTTAATTTTCTACCCCTTGCTCATGACCGTCTGAGTTTTCTTTTTAAATGTTACATCCATACTATCCTAGGTAGAATTATGTAGTTTAGTGAATGCTTCTTGACAATTTATGCATACTTAATACAAAATGATGTCTCTGTGACCTATATTTCCTGCTTCAACAACTTTCTTGAAATTGTATTAAGCATTTATTTGGTGCTTACATTCGAATCATTAATCAGTTATAATTGAAATTAATAATGCTTGAATTTTGTAGTGCTGACTGCCATTCTATGAACATTGAACTGCTGGCTTCCAATCCAGAGTTATTCAATGCTGGTCATTTTCACCCAGTAAAATCTGATTTTTAGATTTGGAAAATTATAAAATCTTTGCAAGGAAATTTAAAGAACATTGATTTGTTTAAACAATAAAACAAAAACAAGAGTAAACAGTTTATTATAGCACCTTTTCTTTGATATCAGGGAAGAGAATACCCTGTTATTATAGATGGGTTGGTGGGTAGGTGATTTCACAGCGTGTGTGATTTAGATTTTTGATGCAGCTTTTTTTCAGTCATTTTACAGTGATGTCTGTAGTGGGACAGTTTATAATGATGTACAGCACTGGGGCATCATGCCACAGACATGTGGCATTATGTCCCACCCAGACACATTGTCCTGACACCATGCTAATCAGTCCTAACACTAACCTCTTAATGCTGAGTGCTGAGTGCCAAGCAAAGCAGCTGTTAGTACCATTTTTTAAAGTACATGGTATAACTCTGCCGTGAAGTTATTGCTGCTTCTGCGGCATAATTGGTTAATAGTATCCCCAGTAGGTTACATTTTCACAACCCATGAAGATCATACCACAAAGACATAAAAATGGTATCAGCAGCTGCCTTACTTGGCGCTCAGCATTAAAAGGTTTGTGTTAGGACTGGTCCGCTTGGTGTCAGGATAATGTGGTTGTGTGGTACATGATACTGCATGTCTGCAGCATGATGCCCCTGTGCTAGGCATTACTATAAACTGCCACACTGCAGACATAATATTAATATGACTGGAAGATTGTTGAAGCTACATTAAAAATCCAAATCTCATATAAATTGCACATTCAAGTTATTAAACTGGCAATAACTGATAAGTTTGATAATCAGTGAAATCAACATACTTTTAAATTTTCTGTGCTTGTTACCACTGAAAGAGATGTTTTTAATTCAGTTTTGATCAAACTTGGTAGAGAGGCTTTTATCATCAAGATCTCAAACAAGTAGATTCATGAGCAGTATTAAAAAGGTGGCCTTGCATCTGATTTGCTGAGCTTGCTACCACTCTGATTATATTTCTTGATTCATCATGGAATATAGGCTTTTAGAAGATTTTTGGACATTTTTAATAGTCCAAAAGATTAATCCATATTACTTGGGCAATGTTGTTGCTGATTGTCTAAGCTCTTTACCAGTATGAGGACAGACTTATAGTCTAATTTTGATAAATATTGAATATCAGTTTGTCTCATCAAAATCTTCTGTGTGTTTGATGATTTGCAAGATTTATACACATGGAATGGTCAATCTTGTATCAATCACTTTTCTGAGGTTGTTGCAACACAGTTTGCAAAATTTGGAATATAATCTTACTCTGGTTATATTTTTGTTGGATATCCACTTTTATGTATCCACATTTTTGTGGATACCTAAATTCATGTATTAATTTGTGGATTAACCTCTTCATGTATTAATTTGTAGATTAACCTCTTCATGTATTAATTTGTGAATTAACCTTTTCATGTATTAATTTGTGGAATAACCTCTTCATGTATTAATTTGTGGATTAACCTCTTCATGTATTAATTTGTGGATTACAAATACCCAAAATAATGACTGCATCAGAAATGTGATAAGCTAATATCCCATAAGGTCTTGAATGGTTGGACATTAATAAGCCACTAAGAGCTCAAGCCAAACACTTGCTAAGATAAATACCTTATTTTGTATCTTTGTCTGACATCTTGACATCAAACTGCTTAATCAGCTAATCATGCCAAGCTGTAATTGAAACATATCTATTTATTTTCAATAAAGTTGCACGGTCAGTACATTTGATGTGCCAACCAAACACTGTCTTTATCTCAGTGCTCTTAGCAGCGGATGGTAACATTTTATATGCAATGGAGGAAAGCAGATTACAATTGACTGTAAGATCCTAATTATATATCACTTTGAGAAGCTGGGCTTCTGTAATTTGACAGTTTTCTTGATTATTAACATGGCAGAATTTTGTGTATACTAGAAGACTCTACTTTGTTGTAGTTAGTGCATATATACAGAGCACATAGCACTGTTGAAATCAGTGTGTGTATGTATATATATATATATATATATATATATATATATATATATATATATATATATATATATAGTGTAGATAGTACTATTTAATTAACCGCTCCATTGGACTAGTGGTTAGAGTGTTCGCCTTGGATGTGGGAGGTCGTGGGTTCAAACCCCAGTCGTGTTATACCAAAGACTTACAAAAATGGTACTAACAGCTGCCTCACTTGATGCTCAGCATTAAGAGGTTAGTGTTAGGACTGGTCGGCCTGGTGTCAGGATAATTTGACCGGGTGGGACATCATGCTACATGTTTGCGGCATAATGCCCTAGTGCTAGACATCACTATAAACTGCTACACTGCAGACATCGTAGCGATATGACTGAAAAATTGTTAAAAGCTACTTTAAAAGTTATACACACCACACTACACCATGCCATTATCTAATTAGTGAATATACAGAGTAGATATCACTGTTATAATATACAGAGTTTAATTAGAACTGATGCTTCAAGCAGTAAGTTTACTTCATTTAATGTCATGTTTTTGGATAAAAATCCATCAATAAAATCAAATACCTTCTAATGAATATTAATTTGGACAAGAGATGTGTATGCTGCACAGAGGCGTAGCTATGATATTTGGGAATGAACTATAAAATTGGTGCCCCAGCCCCCTCCCCGTTTAATCACATTTTTTCTATTTTACTTATTATAATGTAACGTTGTAAGCCTCATTTTGGCGCCTGGGGACATATGTACCCCCCTGCCCCACCCTAGCTATGCCTCTGATGCTGCATTTAATTATTAGTATACATTCATGTATTTGTTATTAGTAGGATCATACATGTATTTTTATGTAGATTTTTCATTCCCATGGATCATGACTAATTAAACCTTCAATAAATTGCTTACTATATTTGTAATATGTTTGCTTGAAGCATTGTGAATAAGTATTAAATGTCATTTTTGCATTTAATTTCATATTTCTTACTTTCATTTTTAATAATTTTAGTATTGCTCTTTCTCTTTTCTTTCTATCCTTATTAATCAAGCAATACTTTGCTTTAAGGCACTTCCTTATTAGGCATTGAGCAGAAAAGACAGAGACATGTCAACTGCTTCATAATTACAGTGCCACCCCTTATAATGCTAAACTGTTTGCAACAGAAAAGTGGTCTTATGATGGGTGGCCTTTACAGAGGGGATGTGTGTAATAGTTAAATACAAAGAATGAAAGGTGTAACTAATATTTAGGTTCACAAATTGTAGTCTTAATCCGAAAAGGCTTTTGGAATGATCCATTGCTACTTACTCCTGAGCTAATTGTAAAACTTTATAAACACATTCATTCCCATGGTCTAGTTGGTCCAAATTGAAAATGGTGCTGATTGAACATCCATTATGGCCACGATAGATGCCATCTTGAACATCTGCTACATTTCCTCCATAGATAGTCATATTAACTTACGGTTTTAACTTCGGACTTCTTACAATGCCTAGTTGATCCTAAATGACATCAATACAGCCACTAAAGTCACCATTTTAAAAATCATTTTGTTGCTCCTCATATTGACGTGGGTTTTTCACTAAAATACTTCTTATCCTTGTTCCTGAAGGAATAATGTTGTTGATTTGATCTCCCGTCTGGCTCGCATGGCAGCCATCTTGAACTGCTTGGGTGCCCTAGTGGTTAGAGCATCCACCTCGGAGGTTGTGGGTTTGATCCCCGGCCAAGTCCTACAAAGACTTACAAAAATTGTACTAACATCTGACTCGCTTAGCACTCAGCATTAAGAAGTTAGTGTTAGGACTGGTTGACCTGGTGTCAGGATCATGTGACTGGGTGGTACATCATGAAACATGTCTGTGGCATGATGCCCGAGTGCTAGACATCACTATAAATTGCCACACTGCAGACATCATAGCGATATGACTGAAAAATTGTTATAGCTATGTTAAAAATCTAATCACACACACACACACAAACACACTTACAATGGCTAATTGATCCTAAATGAAATGGTGCTGATCTGACATCAATACAGCCACTAAAGTCACCATCTTAAAAATCATTTTGTTGCTCCTCATATTGACGTGGGGTTCTCACTAAAATACTTCTTATCCTCAGTATGTAGATTGTGTAACGAACTAGGAAAATCTGGATAAACTTCAAAACAATAAGAAATATCAGAAAAATCATTATTTTCTAGGTAAATCTTTTTCAGTTTCTCAAAGAAATTGATCTGGAGTTATCAAATAAAATTCGCTATATGGCATTGGTTCTGACATCACATAACCATAAAAATAATTAGTGTTTAGAAAAATAATATAGTTCGATGTAAGATTTTTATTATAATTACTTTAGATATTTAATATTAGCCGCTGTATATTCTTTTGTTATAACCCAAATTCTGTCTCTGATATCATACTTGTTTTTAACAGAGCGTCTCATGACAATCCAGGTGATCAATAATACCAACAGGGGTCTAATCCATAATTGTATATACTAACTTGATGAAAACTCAAAAACATCTGCAGTGATAATACATGTTTTAAAATATAAATCATGATAATCACCAGATGTTTTACAACTAAATTTTTTCCAAATATCTTGTTCATATTTGTACTCCTCATCTGTGATATTTTCATTTTTTAATTGCAATTAAAATTTATCTTTATCAGGAAGAGAAGTTTCATTTAATCTGCTAATCATCGAGATACTCATACTGAAATCTATCTTTTTTGTTAGATTGATATAAATTTTCACCAAAGCAACTTTTTAGTTTAGAGAAATTGCTACAACCTTGTACAATCTCATCTAATGATGCTGCCATAAATTGCAGACAGTCAATGAAATGTTATTTACTGAGCGTCACTGACATATACTTTTCAAACTTATTTGAAATACATTTAGTTTTGTTTTTTAATCTTAGTTTAGCTTTAATATTTTTATCACCAAATACTTTTACAATATGATTGTCATAGCCACAAAAGTTATGTAATGTTATGAGCTGCTAAACAAGACTGGTCAGTCTAATAACAATGATCCTGCCCTTTATTACCACGTTCCTGCAACTTTTCACAATTATGATAATAACTTGCTTTATCAAAATCGAGTTGTTGTTTAGACGTTATTTTCATTGGAAATCTTTTAAGTAATCTGTTTGAAATTTTATTAACTTCGTCTATTACATATTTTTACTAACCACACGCCTGGATTTTTATCTCTGTATAACGTTATTAAAGTTAAAATATATTGTTAGCACAATAAACTACTCTTTGCTACTCCACAAGGAATATGTTGTATTTGTCTAGTATTTGATTTATTCAGATTATTTTCTGCTCCAGCCACAAGAACAAGTAGACATTAAAAATCGGCGTAAATAATAAAAGGTATATTTAGTTTATGATCATAATTTTAACATTTTGCTTTTTTGTCTTTTTCATAGTTATTTTTTAATATAGACACAGTATTTGCGATGATTTTATAATATTCCATCGCTAGAAAAACCCTGTAGACATTTGCAACAGAAATATATTTTAGTTTTATTTTTACCATACTGTCTGGCAACTAGACCGTTAAAATTTTGATCCAAAAATTTTAAAATAAAATAATAAATAAATTTATTGTCTTGTATAGCATGTTCTGAGATATATCTCTGGTAAACATTTTCTTTCTCATCTAGTCTGAAAACATTTACTAAGATACTGTTTTTGATTTTTAAACTTTGGTATATGATTTTCCTCTACTGAAAAGTCAATGCCATGAAAGGTTTAGTTCATCTTCTTACAGCAAATACTTGTTAACACGAACATGATTTTTTCTTCTGGAAACATCATAGAAAGAATAGACCATTGAAAAAAATTAATATTATTGTTTTGAACTTTTATGCAACATTTTTTTGTTTTTGATTATTTGAGGGAGATCGAGTTACAAACTTCCGCAAAGTACGCTAGATTGTGCTGTGTGAAATAAAACTTCTTTTATCATTTGAAATTTCCAACCCGACTCGGATGCATTATATTCTTCTAATGGTTTTTTTTCTTGATGTATTACATTGGCGACTATGGAAATGTTCCTTCCAATTAATATTTGCGACTATGGAAATGTTCGTTCCAATTAATATTTGCGACTATGGAAATGTTCGTTCCAATTAATATTTGTCTCGATTTAGCTGTTAGATATGGTTCCGAAATTTCGCTGTCAAATCCTTTTCTTTCAAAAATTACATCAAGTATATCCTCAGCTGCATGTAACGTTGACAGAATCGTATGTTATTGGACTATCAGTTTGATACTTTAATGAGCCGCAAGGTCTTTTGATACAACAGGTTGTAAAAGATGAAATAAATTTGTGGAGCTAAACTTTTCTAAAATATTTTGATCATGAAGTTTTTAACTCTTATCGTAATTGTAAATGCTGTAGCATTTTTTTCAGATTAGATAATGTTTATTTTAACAATATCTCGCAAATTTAACATTATTTATAATATATAACAATCAACAAAGTCAATGTTGACATTTGACAGATTTAATTTTAAATACGTTAACTGATGATATTTTCTAGATCATTTCGAGTAAGACAATTATGACTAAATTCCATTAAATCGTAATATCTTCATTTTATTTGTATCAGTTTGATTTTTTCGGCTAATGTTAAAAAACATCTGTCAGAATCACCTAATGCTATAATAACATCAACAAAATAAAATCCCAATAAAAAAAATTCGATTCGTCTCAGCTAATTCTTTGTAATTTAGTATATTAACCGTTGATGATATTTTATTTCTCCGAACATCTTATTTCTTATTAATTAGACAAAATATATGTTATAATAATGAACTTGATTGAGAGATAGCTGAATTATGTTCGGTAGCTTTTGTTTCAGTTTCAAATTTTACATTAGATATGATTACTTAAGATATATTTGCTAGTTATACTGAAGAAAAAGATTTTTTGCGTAATTATGACGAAGATGAAGATGATGTTGTTGTTAATAAAAAAATATTAAGCAGACCAACACTTGGGCAATATGATGCTAAGTAGAATATTTCTAAAAAATAAAAATTAATTTGACTATAACAGACCATCAGATATTTTGGCAACTTATAAAACCTTTTTAAACGCAAAAATAACTGGACAACAAAGAAATGTATAATACGATTTTATTTTTTTAAAAAAAATTT